TAAACCTATTCTAAATACATTTTCAAACTATTCAAATGATGAAAGTTATTGTTGTTTTTTAAGCGTTTATTAGCGAGTGGGAAACTCCAACATGGCCGCCATCTATTCAAATGGGGGTAACCGCTGGAATATTCTTGGCTTTACTTCAGTACTAAAAGAGATGCGCTATCTAGTGTATATAAGATATCTATGATCTTGGTCCATCGTATCTGAAGGAACTCTTGCATTGTCACACCTCGCAGCGCATGTTATGTTGTGCTGTATTATGTTATTAATTTATATGAAGTACTTCAGAGCTTGGAGCGAGAAGTGACAGCTTGGAGCGTGGGCGCAGCCATAGGGGAGAGGCGACATCCTATGACGTCATTCTCCCCTACGTCTGCGCTCCAACCTCGGAGTACCTCATCAATTTAACACAAAGTTGTCTCCAGTCAAATTTATTTTTACTGTGTTATTTTATTCCACGTCCCTTTACTGACATCCTCAGTTGCTTCCAGAGTCAACATCAGCTACCATTATACGATTTATATCAGACAATAGAAAAAAAAATAAATAAATAAATAAACGTACAAAGTGTTTCTTTCAGATTCAAATTTTATTTTTGAACTATTATATAATGGCGTATTACAAAATTGAAATACCGACTGCAATTACAAATCAAATCAAATCTCGTTTGCTTCAGTCTATTATTCACGGTTGTGGATTGCTTTCTCTATACTCTGCAATGGCATCCAGCAAGGTTTGCACATGCATTGTTGTAGTGGCAATAGTTGGCGAGCCTCGGAAACCACCGGTACTCCACACTGCAATCCTATGATGTTCGTACAAATATTCAACCAGCAGTTTACCCCACTATAAAACAGGAAGTATATACATAAAATTTGCTGCTTTTTGTTCCACTTTGTTCTGTTCTGCTCTGCTCTGCCTACTCTGCTCTGCCCTGCCCTGCCCTGCCCTGCGCTGCTCTTCCCTGCCATGCCATGCCATGATGCCATGCCATTGGGTTTTTTTGTGTTTTTTTTTTACCTTTTGTCTAACCTTTCTAAACATCGTAGAAAAAGTTTGGGAAGCTATTATAGCTTTCAGGTTAATAAAAACAGAAGACATTCTTCTTACATGACAGCTTATTTATTTTAACACCTTATTTTAGCATACCATTTTCTCAGAAATGGATAGATTCAATATCAATAATATTTTCTCAGAAATTTTTAACAACAAAAATGATTCACACGATTCAATAGCTCCATATAAACCAATTTTCTACATTAGTGAACTTACGTCTTCGTTTACACTCGCAATCATTACGCCAATTCTCTGTGACTCGTTTGCCGGTGTTGTCATGGGGAAATCTGGAAAGGCTTGTAAACCATTGTACAACAGGGTACCCATATAGCGCACTCGGTCTTCAATGGCCTGGAAACCGATCCCGCCCATGATTTCTGCAGTGTTCAGCAAACACATTAAGCTGGGGTCTGCACGCTGGCCAAGGGTTTCAAACCTGCGGGCATCGTCGTAAAGGGCAGGCGGCAAGATGATTTTTAGGTCGTATCCAAAGGTATTGGGGACGAAATTTGGGATACGAGACGTCTTCATGTAAAAGATTCCAGTTTCTTTGGGACCCAAGAACCATTTGTGAGCTGATGCTGAATAACTAAAAAGACAAAGGCTTGTTTACAATATAACATCGATGCTTTGGTATCACTTGATCAAAGTGTGTGACATTTTTTATCTTTTGACTTTATAAAGCTTGTTTACGCTATCGGAATTTGTAAGATTGAAATATGCTTTGGTCATGATGTGTGACAGCGTAATCCCTCCAAAGATTTATTGATAATTTACACAACAGGCGTTTCACAATCTCGTACCCAGGGCTGCCTTCATCTCGCGGTTAGCCCTGGGTGCGAGGTTGAACGTTTCATTGATCAAAGTAGTCGTTGATCATGCAACTAAATTATCTTCTGATCAAAGTGTGTGACAATTCGACAGTTAACACTAGCAACTACAGTGCTGGCACGCGTCAACGTTAGCACTCACTATACACACTCGTACCCAGAGCCCTTCTTACGCGCGGTCAACGGAGCACGACGAGGGGCTCTGGCCAAATCCATAACCGGATACCATAAAAACATGGTAAGAAAACAACATCCCGTGTTAGAACTAGCCAATCAGATGCCAGTTCGGATATGGATTTGGCAAGAGCCTCTCGTCGCACCGCGCGTAAGAAGGGCTCTGGTTACGAGAATGTACACACTCGTAAAAACGCACAAGTTGTAACAAACCTGCAGCAGACTTGTAGCAATGCTAGCTGTTCCATCACATCAACTTGTCAACGGGATGTGTTCGCACTGCTTGTTCCCAGCTTGTTGACAGGTTGTCAAAGGCTTGTATAATTCAACATTTGGTCAACGAGTTCTGAGTTACAACCTTGTAGCAACTTGATAAAATATCATCATTTTCACATCTTGTTGACAATCCTGCTACAAGCCTGCAGTTGCAAACACATCTTGTTGACAAATTGTGATGTTTTTACGTGTGTAGTTGTCATGTTTTGCTAATTATAAATAATTATATGTCTAGTATTTATGCGAATCAAGTAGACTTAATTAATGAGTTTGGACGGGTTAGTTATCGGCCTGGTTATCGGTAATGAGTTCGTGAAGTATAAATTAATCGCTTTCTTTGCACACAAACCAAAACAGATTGTGGGACTGTAGCAACCATGCAAGAATAACAAGGGCCCAATCTAGTGTAAAATATTCAACCAAAGACATTTGTCATATTTATCCCGGACGGTCTGTGCCAGTGTAGGTCAGATAGTGACAATAATAAAAAATGCTGATTGATAGGGAATGCAGATTGTATTTCTCAGCTACTTGTATATATCCCAATCAATCCGCCGGTTTGCTATTAATTAATAGTGGACATGTTGGGTTAATCAATGATACTCAAGTGAGCTTGTACTCTTTTGTTCTACAGTACATGAGATTTCCGTTCTCATTGAGCTCACCTTAGGACACCTCATGCATAATGTAACATGCAGTGATTTTGTGCCTGATAAAAGCTCTCAATTTTTTTTTTATTTAAAATCAGCCGTTTCCTACATACTGTACTACAGTACGAGAATTTTATACTATTATTTACCTGAAACATATTAATTAATGACACGTTTTTCTCAATTAAGTTTTTCTCAAGCCATTCGTGCGTAGTGTTTTAATGCAGTTTGCCATTATACGGTTGCTTTACCCGCGCGGGAAGGGCGCACGACTTAGGGTGCACGCCCGAAGCGACTTGTCTATAGTCGCTCGTCCAGCGCAGGCAAAACTACCGAAATGGAAAACGCCCTTTAAAGCTTATATACGCTGGCCAAGATCGTAGAAGATCGTCTAGGCTTTACGACTCATTTGCAAGCCAGCGGCGAAAGAATAGCTCTATGAAACTTTAATTGCCTATGAACTATTAAAGCATTACCAAAACCGCGGATTCTTCATCTTGCCCCCCCCACAAATGTAATGTTTTCGCGTCAAAACATTCAGGAATGCTATACTACATTGTCAATCTCGTCAAATCGACATTTTGGAAATGGCGATATCCCATTGGTTAATGGTCGGCGAGAAATTGCGCTTTGTTTGACATTTTAGCAGAATAGGCGTGGGAACGTGGCAGTCGCCGATTTCTGAATGTTTTGACACGTATTTTCGAGGTCGAGTGGTAGCATCCGCGGTTTTGCTAATAACAAGGTTTGTTTATGAAGGTCTAATTACAAGGTTCTTACCATCAAAGCCCGCCGTGCCTGCTTACCTATCGCAATCCATCTGAACCAAATTCAAATTCATGCATCCCCATGTCATTGCGCCATCAATATGCACGTGACAATTTGGATATGTAGCATGGACAGCCTTGCAAATTTTCTCTCCCGGCAACAAGCGACCACCAACGTTTGATAAATGTGAAAATGTGACGAACTTCGTGTTCGCGTTGACCAGCTTCATGAATTCAGCCACAATTTCATCGTCGGTGCTCGCGCCATTGAACTCGGATGGCACGGTCTTAATCACAAACGGTCGTTGGGCTTGACGTATAAACCAGGCTTGGTTGTTCGTCCCATGGTTTTGTTCCCAAATGACGACCTGGGAACAGAGTATCAGTAAAATACAAAATAACACCTGGCGATAACATACATTGGTACTTATTGCATTGGAGTACGAGAGACAGGGGGGCTCGGGCTCTGCAGCCTCCAGTCAGTTTGTAGTCATATTTCACTTAAAAATCGGGTAATTTTCTATAGGCGCCGCCCCCCCCATCTCATGGGTATAATTAACACTTATTGACTAGCATTATTGGCAAAGAGTATGTTTTGTGGACCCGAGAGTACCAATTCATACCTCGTCAGTTGGCTGGAGTATCTGACCGTTGTTGACGTTGTTATTGGCTTCAGTTCCGTTTCGCATGAGAGCGATTTCCTGCGAGGGAACGCCAAGTTGTGTTGCAATCAGTGCACGCGCGGTATCGATAACCTCACCGAGATCATCAAGACGATTCTGGATGGAGATATTCTTGTTCAACTCCAGATTATATTCATTCATTAACAACTGCACGTAGTGGAAAGTTGGGGCAAAGTTTGCAGTATTCATTGGTATGGCATCGCGCGCGTCTTCGTCGTCGTAAGCAAACAAGTTACGGATTTCTGCGATTGAAAACAAAATCTTAGGTTTTGTACATGTACACTAAGGTTAGCTAGTCGTTAGTTTTATAATTTGAATTACTGACCATGAAAGATTTGCACAGCCTCTGCGACAGCACAACATTATACTATGGCAGATTGCATGGCTATATCAGGTCATATAATACTGCAGGGCAGTTAGTAGAACAACATCTATAAGGGCGCTCGCGGCGGCTCGTGACACCTTCAAGGAATCAAAGAAGATGATTAAGTTATTCTGTCAATGGAGTCAATTAGGATTCAAAATATATTTAATAAAGCTTAATTGACAATTTTTCCACTATCAATGTTCGCGCAACTACATTACTTGAATCATATTTGCACACTTATTGTAGACAGCCGGTACTGTATTAGAAAATGTAGAGATAAAATATTGATACCATATCGTCTTTATATGGTAAGAAAATATAACTTGGCCTTTTTCGTGGCTTATGCTTGCAATTGTACGTAATTATAATTCAGTCCAGATATTAAAAAAGCCTTTCATGATCATGACACTTATCTGACTCATATTGTCGTTAACGTTTTTGTGTGATTTCATTGTCGCGGATGTGGTAGCGCGTCAATTAGTGTGCGTATTTAACAGGAGGATCTGGAATCAACTAGTGGTGTTTTGATTAAAATCTTTAAAACCTAAAACCTTCTTCTCTTTTAATAAAAAAATTAAAATTCAACCCATTATTAGGCTTAAATTTCATTCTTTGGCGTACATACTAAAATCTTTAATATGATATAATTAATTCCAGATGTCAGTGGTTATTATCTATTTTGTGTAACATATGAAGTGGTTAATATAAGTCGTTAATGGCGAATGAAGTGTCATGACGTAATTGTTGTTTGTCTGCTGTGCAGCTATCTGTGACCGGGCAAAATATGTGCACGAAACATATTATGCTGTTTTTATTTTCGATTTTAATTAACTCATATAAATACATTGTTAAATGTTCATCTTGGGTCATTTGTTTTTTGGTACGTATACAGAGAGATTTTAACAAACAATATAATTAGAGATTGGAGTGAATAGCATGAAACCATAATAGCGAAATATGGTTTCAAAAATAATATGAGCAATAATATGAGTGTCCTTGATAATTAACAATTTTATGTTGAGTATAAGAAAATGTGTATTATTATGGAATAAGAAAACATACATTTGCCTGGCTTGAATCCTATCTTACCAATAGGATTCATGCAACTCTGTAAAACAGATCAAACAAATCCAAATTTTAAGTATGGTGTACCTCAAGGTGCAATCCTGGGTCCACAGCTGTTCTTTCTACATGATACGACCTTACGACTTACCAAAATGTCTGTATTCGTCTCCAGCAAACTAGCAAATATGTGCACTGATGAATGGCTACTTCCAATAACCAAACTTATACTGAATTAACAAGCAAAAGTCCGATTGGCTTACGACAGTGCACTGATCAAATATTAGAAAACTGATCCAAAAATTGAACTTAATTGGTGAGTCAGTTGTAACCAAATTGGTTCACAAACTGAAAACTTTGGAGTTTGGTATTATTTACTATTGATCATGATGAACGTCTCTCGTGGAACGATCAAGTCCAAAATATTGTAACAAAAATTTCAAAAGGGATAAAAATGATGCGCCGAAAGGGATAGTTTGTTCCCAAATCAATATTATTAATTAATAAATAATATGTTGGTTTTTGTATTATTTGCAGCTTGGTTTGGAACAACTGTCGCGATTATCTATAATTGACAAACTACAATAATTACAAATTAAAAAGAACAACGCGAACTATCACTGGTAGAACGTACAATATATGCAAGCTCCGATGATCATTTAAAAAAACAACAACTAAAGAGTCAGATAGCCCTTAGCAGAACAGTATAAGCCCATAGCAGAACAGTATAGGCACTGGGCTTCATTGAAAAATACTTTGGTGATAAGAACTCCCTGATTAATAATGCCGTTTATTGATTCTGAAATCACGCGATAAATTGCAGTGTGCGCCAAAAATAACTTTGTACGTTAGTAAGCCTTTAAAACGATAAGAATGAAGATTACATTATTGCAGCTTATTTACTTACTTAACCAATACTCTTCGTCATCAACCGCATGTACAGACTTGCTGTTGATAACAGCCTTTATGGCACCCATCTTTTCCTTGAAACTCTTCAAAAACTGCAAACTGACAAGACCACGGTTGCATAGTCGTTTCACCACTTTGAGACTTGGAGAATCTTTTAAATCATAGCTACCTCGAGAATTCTTGGGACAGGCTTCATCTCCACAACCTGCGCCTCGAAAATCCTTGCAATGACAACCAATGTCTCCACATCGCTTGCACGGTTTCCCTCGTAACTTGCTTGCCATTTTTCTTCTTTTATTTCTCGTCTCCACTGCTGAACCAATGCTGTATTGTGCTGAGACTTTGTGTTGAGCTTCTATTTATACAGTCATATATACGTCGGTGATCCTACAGTGACCTCAAATGGCTGCGTCAAATACGTCGTCTGACAGCGCATGTGTAATTAGCCATGCATGATAACACAGAAGCACGGACGACTTTCCGGCATGATCCGCATTTACGTTTACCACTACTTTTGAGTATGTGTGTTTGTTAACAAAAATATCTTTATTGTTTGACGAAATTATTATTATTAATTTCAGCTTTGTCTCCGAGATTCTATTACTTGTACTTTTAGATTGCTGCTACTTAGACAACCAATCGCATGAAGTTGGGTGTGTTAATAAATAGTAATAAAATAAGCGATTCATTATTTAGTTCTTTATAAACGGGGATTATATTCAGCCAACATTTGATTATAAAGTTAATATTATTCGAGCATGTGCATAAGTTTTCTCATTGCGCTGACTTTAGTGTGGTAGTGAGCTCATGCAATAACAATGATATAGTTTCTCAGTACTGGACGACGTTTTGGGTGAACATAAAAAATATGTTTTTATCTGCGAGGAATCATTGTTCAGGGATATTTATGCCTTTAGAGCTTGCTATTTTGTGGCCGAGACATTCAGCTCTATATATATCTCAATATATATCTCAATATATATATATATATATATATATATATATATATATATATATATATATATATATATATATATATATATATATATATATATATATATATATATATTCAATTTATTTTGGTTGTCTAGATATAAAAAGTGCTCAATACTAAAAGTATAGCAGAGCTTATTAGATTGTCTATATCTTAAAATTAAATATCGCTACTCTGAGTTTCACGTCCTTTCTAGACGATCATCAGGCGATTTGGTTCACGATTTTGTTACTGATTACGTGATTGCATCATCATCAACCGTTCGCTGACGCGTTAACTTGTTTGTTCGCGCGCGTTCGAATTTCCCGGCGCTGAATTTTTCTCGATGGCGACATTTCGCGAAGAACTCGGATCTTTTGAAACCATAATCGCGAAATAAAAAATTTTGCCTGGGCCAAGACCATCATACCCATTCCCGATAATCACATATCTATCATCAAACATGCTCGAAAGTCCTTGCTTTTCAACCAAGAAACACCATGGGTTAAGCGAAACAACGATACAATGTTTGATGTTACGATGGGCAGCTTTGAC